TCTAAATTCTACTCTAATAATAACTAAATAAGACTAAGTAATAATAATAAAATAAATAATAAAATAATAATAATAATTATACAATATCGGAATAATAATCTAATAAAATAATAAATGGTTCTATAACACTATCTCATAAAATTGAGGCAAATTTTTTATCAATAATATGAAAATTATTAAACTTTAATATACTAAACATTTGAATTTTAAACATAATTCTGATCTTTTATTAATTTTTAATTAAACCCAATTAATTTTTTAATTTTTTATAAAAAAAATTATTCAAAATTTTAACTCACATCTAAAATTTTTTTTAGTGATTGAAAAATTATTATCAAAAAAATACATCACCTAGCTTAACTATTTACTAAGTTTTAAAAAAGTTTTAAGGCTGTAGCACTTCTATATAAGCAGATATAGATGCATGGAAACTTTTGTTTAATACTGTATATAGTTTAGTCGCTATTTTCAGATAATTATACCAATAATAAAATTATACTTAAAAAAAATTCAAAAAAAGTTAGTTTTATAATTAAAAATGAAACTAATTATTAAAAAAAACTTATTCTATTTATTCTAACGACAATTTAGATTTAATTTTCATTTAGTCTTTATTTTCAAATGAAATATTTAAAGAAAAATTTAAAACTAGCAACTTAAAAAAAAAGAAAAACGAAAAAAGAAAGATAGCTGATACTTATTATAAAGTTAGCCTATTTCAACTCTGAACTTCTTATTAAATGAAAAAAATATCAAAAAAAAGTTAGTTTTAATAAATAAAATTAAAAAAAAAACAAACAAAAAAAGCTAATATTTATTTTAAAAACCAACTCTGAAAGTAGATCTAAACCTAAAAAATTAAAAAAATTTAGTATACATATAAAAAACATTATTTTTTTTGCTGAAATATTTGATCCACCAGATATTAAAATTAATATTTCATTTGCTATTAAATCACAAACAATCTATGGAATAAAGCTTATTTCAGAAAACTCAACTATAATAGCTCTAACAATTTAAAAAATAAAATTAAAATTAAAAAATACTAACCTATATGCTGCTAAAATAACTAATCCATCTACTGATGAAATTACTAATCCACCTATTATTTAATTTACTAATATATTCACTGTTAAAGCCACTAACTTATCTGCTATTAAAATTACAAAACACTAAATATAACGATAATGAGGCAGCATTAATAACAAAATTATATATAAAAAAAAATAAAGATTAGCTTGAAAACCAAACAAAACAAAAATACTTAATTCTTTTGTGAATTAACCAACAGTTGTTTAATTTATTACCCATCTGCTATTAAAAACACTAACCCATCTGCTATTGAATACACTAATCTGCCTGCTATTAAAAATACTAATTCTCTTACTATTGAAAATACTAATCAACTTGCTATTGAAACTAAGAGCCTACCTACTTTTAAAATAAAAACTATCTGCAGTTTTAATTAATACAACAACTCCAAAGCATCAAAATTATGATCTAAAGCAATACAAAAAAAGAAAAGCTAATAAAAAAAAAAAACAGAAAAAAGAGAGAAAAAAAACCTCCTAAAAAAAGCAGCACCAAAAAAATGAAATCACACTACAACAATTCAAATGGTAACAACTCCAAGGTGACTATAACAATAGCATATTCTTTAAAAAAAAAGATTATTGAAAATGAAAAGAAAAAAACTAAAAAAAAGTAAAACCTCCTGAGAAAAACAGCACGGTAGCAATGATTTAGCAGCAATGATTCCAAGGTGACTACAACAACAGCATATACCTAAAAAAAAAAAGATTATCGAAGGTGAAAAAAAAACTAAAAAAAAAAGAAAAGAAAAACCTTCTGAAAAAAAAGAACCAAAATGACAATTTTAGTGACAATGACTTCAAGGCAACTACAATAACAACATATATCTAAAAAAAAGAATTATTGAAGGTGAAAAAAAAGAACTAAAAAAAAAGAGAAAAAAAAAACCTCCTGATAAAAAATGGTACCGAAGTGACAATTTTAGCGGCAATGACTACAACAATGGCATATACCTAAAAAAAAAAGATTATTGAAGGCGAAAAGAAAGAGAGACTAAAAAAAGAAAGAAGAAAATTCTCCTGAGAAAAATGGCACTGAAGTAATGATTTTAGTGGTAATGACTCCAAGGCGACTACAACAGCGTATATATAAAAAAAAATTATTATTAAAAGCGAAAAAAAAGAAACTTTAAAATTAGTTAACGCCATAACCAGTTATTAACTGGCGGCTAAGAACCAGTTATAACGATAACAAAATTTGAAATTCCAAGTCTTAGAGAAGGTATCATTCTTTCCACTTATAAGATGGGATGAACAGAATTTCATTCTGAACAACTTTAATTAATAACTCAAAAATAAAAAATCATCTCAGTATTTAACGAATAATCGTAACCGTTCGTAACCGAACCCATCCATAACGGTATGTTATAAACCAGGGTTAAAAATTATCACTATATCATACGATGCTCATTAATAAAATTTTATAAAAGCGAAAGTGTAATTAATTCTTAAAATTTTTTTGAATATGTGAATAAGTAAATCACATGAACTGAATTTTTTTTTTTATATTGGTTCTCTGCTAGCATTAAGACAAAATAGACCGGGCATTTGTTAATAACTTATTGGTAATTTTAAAAATATTATCCCTTTAACTATTTACGTACTGACCGAGCAAATTAAGGTTTATCCAATAATCACATGTTTAAAATGACGTTTTTAAATGATCTAATCAAGTCATGGATGACGTAATTGTTAGATATCTGAATTTAAATTATAAGTTTTAATTCGACAGTATAAATAACACACCCGTAACAACTCGTGATTTGATTTTTACTGGGGTTATTTCACCACGTTAAGAAAAAAATAAAGTCGAGGTGCCGTTAAAAATAGTTAAAAGTAGTATTAACTAAAGGCTAGTTTTCCCGGTAATCCCAGTAATAAGAGTATGGGACCCATTATTATTTATGTGAGTTGTACTATTAAAATAATTTTGATCAAAATTTGCAGGCAAATTTTCCTGCAAATTCTTTAAAGGAATAACGATAACCCTGCAGATACGTAGCATCAATATTGGGCATTTGATTGAAGATAATGTTGCTTCTATGCTACTACTACATAGCACATGGAACACACGGAAGCGATAGCATTATTAATTCACATCAAATCAAATATTAATTTTATAAATTTGATTTTTAATTTAAAATTTCCGAATTTTATTAGTATACTGATTGATTTTAAGCTCATATGTAAATATTCTAAACAAAATATACACTTGGTTTTATAAAATAAAAGATTATCTTAATAAAATATCTTGATAAATTTTGAAAAAATAATCTTTATAACTTATATTATCAAATCAATTAAATTTAAATCTTTATTAATTTGAATTTGGCCAAATAAATTTCCTTTCAATTGAAGGAAGCAGATTCATCAATAAAGTGTAGATTTGCATAAGATCTCGGGATAGTTAAAATAGGTGTAAACCCAGTTTCTCTTTGCAGAATATTTGTTGAAGAAGCAACAGATCAACTTACCAAAAGTAGTATTTACAAAATACCGGAGTTGGGCATTGATGTCGATTGATACAATTGATCAATAATAAAGATTGTGTATAGTAATCAGGGGCTTTGCATTTATTTATTGTTTGAACCTCCTAAAACCGATTCGAAATCTGATAAAAATTAATATACATACGTACGTACCAAGTACGTTTTTATTATATTTCCAAATCTGATAACCTCAATACGTACGTACGTACATACATGCTAGATATGTATCAGTATAAAATTTTGGTCAGTACGTTAGATTTTTATGTATGGCTTTATTAGTATTCAAATCTGAAGCCACCTCATCAACAGTCGATAATCATTCCATTCCTATAACGTTACTCGTAACCTGGCTTATTTGTGCCGATAATGCAAAAGAATTTGGCATGAACAAACAAGATACATAATGATACAAAGTACGTACGACGATATATATACTTCTTACGTATTACTGTATTGCGATTACCGTTACACTATGCAAACGTTTATATAGAATTGGATGGTTTCGTCTAAAATCAAAAATTCGGGCTTTTCAAACATCTTGGCATCTTGACCCCGTGAATCCTGTCATTTACGTCACCTTCCGTATTTTTGAAACAAATAAATACTTCAAAATGTTCTGCGTTTTACCACATTTTAAAACTCAATCTTCTATAATAATCCTACATGATCTTATATATATATCATCAAAGAGGAACTTTACTGATCCTCTTAACCTGTAGTCTAATATTTTTAGCTTCATTAACTCGAGCTCAGGAAAGTTCGAAAAATTATGCATTATCACCTCCAGATATTTCCGGAATACCGCAGCAACAAAGTTATAATACTTATCCTAACCCTGAGTATGCAAGACTAGTAGCTTATTCTTTATATTTTTACGAAGCACAAAGAAGTGGAAAGCTACCTACAAATAACAGAGTATCATGGTAAGTTTTCTTATTACAACTCTTTAGATCAAACCGTTAGAAGAATATTTATGATAAAATAATTTTTCAGGAGACATGATTCAGCATTAAACGATGGTCAAGATGTTGACCTTGATTTAAGTGGAGTAAGTGTCATAATCATATTCCTTTTTATATTACTGATTTATTATTTATATTTCCTTCCATTAAGTGTTCGTATGTTTTGAGATGACATTTCATGGAAGGTAAGTTTTTTGATTTACTTACTAATCTTTTTTTTTTTTATACTTATTCATGCGATTATGTAAGGGCTATTATGATGCAGGTAATCAATTAATAATAATTGATCAATTTGTTTTTATGCTTTATACTATACTATATTAATATTATATTAACACTATATTAAATTATATTATATTGCATCATTATTTATTAGGTGATTATTTGAAATTTACTTTTCCATTATCATGGTCCATCACAACTATTGCTTGGGGTGCAATAGAGTGGAGTCAAGGTTATCAATTAGCAAATCAAACCCAATATTTAATGGATATGATAAAATGGGGAACTGATTGGTTAATAAAAGCCAGTTCGAATACGAACAGTACAGATGATCAATATCTATACGTGATGGTTGGTAATCTGGACATTGATCATAACTATTGGGGACCTGATACAAAGTATATATTCTATTACAAAAATTTACCATTATCAATACGTTAAAATTAACAATACGTTAAAATAATCAATTATTTATCCTATCTATAGTTTTCCTACTCGACGTCCATCGTCAAAGGTGAATGCCAGTGCTCATGGGACTGATGTTGCGGGAGAAGTGGCGGCAGCATTTGCTGCATCTTCTATATTATTTCGATCTAATAATTCAACATATGCTGATACACTTTTAACATATGCGAAAAATTTATATTCTTTTGCCGAAACAACACCTTTCAGGTTATATCAAAATTCTGCCCCTTTAGTTAGAGATGGATATAGTTCTAGCAATTATTCTGATGAATTGATATGGGGTGCACTTTGGCTATATCGCGCGACGAATGACGCAACCTATCTTAACAAAGCAGTTAATTATTTTGGCTCTAATTCATTTACTTCAAAGAAAGTATTTAACTGGGATGAAAAAACTGGTGGATGTTATGTGTTATTTGCCAAATTATTTCAACAATCTGGACAGGATACAACCAGATGGAAATTATTGGCAGAACGATACTTGGATAGTATTATAAAAACATCTGGTGGTGATTGCACATTTACTGATGGTGGTCTTTTTTGGTGTGATGGAGATAGTGATGAAGCATCCCTCAGCGTTTCTTTTGGAGCCGCTTTTCTGTGTTTAGTTTATGCACCAATCGCTACTTCAGATACTAAAACTCGTGCATATATAAATTTCGCTTTGACACAAATTGATTACGCTCTTGGTAAAAATCCTCTTAATACACCATATGTTATTGGTGTTCATCCAAACTCACCACATAATCCTCATCATGCTGGTGCGCATGGTGGAACTAATGCAAATAATTTGAATGATCCACCTGAAACACAACATATTTTATATGGTGGAGTTGTAGGTGGTCCGGATAAAAATGATGGCTTTAGCGATTCAAGAAGTGATTATGCACACACTGAGGTATAATTTAATTTATTGTTTTTTAACTTATTATTCTTAAAATCGATAATACTAACTTTTAGATTTGGTTTATTTTAGGTTGCAATGGATTATAATGCAGCATTTCAAGGTTTAATGGCCTATCAAATGATCAATTCTCGTACTGATCCATATTATGTTAGCGTTCCTCCCGGCAGACCATCAAGAAAAACCAGTACTGGCCTTATTATTGCCATTGTTATCTTATGTTTGGTATTGCTTGTTATTGCTGCTCTTTTATATTGGAAGCGCAAAGCAATTGCAGATTGGTGGAGACGTCGAAGACAAGCAAAAAGCAATGGAAAATATCAGTTTGGCTCGCATTAAGTCCTTTAATAGACTTTAATTGATATCATTAACTTACTCAAAAAAAAAAGACAATTTACCAAAAATCTTTTGAAAAATTATTATTATTTAAGTTCCTTTATCATTATTCTGTAATTAACACAAAATTTTTTATTTAAAGAAAATTATTTAAAATATCGGCAACCATAACTTTGGCCGTTTTGTAATAAAATTCTACGTACGTACGTACGTACATATGTAGTAAAATTTTTTTATAATACATTCAAAATCCCGGTAAATTATATCCTAAAAAGTCAGGTGGCATTAACCATGATTTACGTAGCAAATCTAATGAGTTTGTTAAAAAACATTAAAAGTATTTTTGTTTGTAACCTTGAAACACTATCAAGGGTAATTCAACCCTGAGATTCTTTATAATGGCGTACGTGCTGTGTTACATTAATAAAAAATTTGCATAAATTGATAAATGACATTGCTCTTTAGTGTACCAAATCAAGTTAACGTAATACAATCACTAGAGAAAAAAAGGAACCTTCTTTTCTGGAATCAGATTTCCTTTTTAAAATTAAATTAACGTACGTATGCATATACGTAATCGGAATTTAAGGATTTTCAACTGAAACCTAAATTTGACGGTAAGCCATTTTTCAAGTATTCACGTTCAGTAAAATGCTGTACGACAGTACAAATTTGGACGAGCATACTAAAATTTTGATCATACGTACGTACGTACCGGTACGGTTAATTTTTATAGGTAACCCCTTTTTAATGGTTAGGGTTAAAGCAAACATTAGTATTGTCCTTTTTTGTGCTAGGGTAAGGACATGTAGTAGGAAAAGCATTTTTGGTTTGACGAAGTTGCGTACTATTTTAATATATATTAACACTAACACGAAAAAAGAGCAATGTCCGTACTGCTCAAATCTAACTATTGTCTATTATCCATCAGAATCTATACGTATGTACATACGTACGTACACACTTAGATAACGTATTATCATACAGTACTATATCAGATATTGAATACCCAGGCTTTTTGTTCTAATCAAAAAATCAAGGGGTTGTTATTTGTGTGATTATCAATTAATGGAAAATGGTTTCTGCGGTTTAGTGTTTTCACGTAATCAAGTTTATCCAAAATAAAACTCAGCCTATGACTCACTGCCAATCATTATCATAAATTAATTGCCGGATAAGTATTGATCATGATTCTCAAGTCGTGATTTGCTAACTGAGTTTTAATTCGAATAAACATGATTACGACATAACATCCCAAA